CGCCCCCACACCCCACACACAGAGAGAGAGAGAGAGAGAGAGAGAGAGAGAGAGAGAGAGAGAGAGAAGGGAGGGAGGCAGGGAGGGAGAAGAGGGGGGTGTAAGAGAATTTCCCTCTAACTAAGATTAGGGAACAATTCAGCTTGTCCAAGGCGATGAAGCTAAGCTTTGAGTTTAAGTCTTCTAGGACCTAGAGCCCCTTTTCTTTTCACTGCACTGTAAGGCAGACCTAAGATTTCCCTCTAACTAAGATTAGGGAACAATTCAGCTTGTCCAAGGCGATGGAGCTGAGCTTTGGGTTTAAGTCTTCTAGCACCTAGAGCCCCTTTTCTTTTCACTGCACTGTAAGGCAGACCTATAGAGCGGATGACAGAAAAAGAAGTGGGGGGCAGGTGGAGGGTGGGGGAAGGAATGGACAGTAGGGGACAGAGGCAGAACTGTGGGGACTCGAGGGGAGGCGCATCGCATAGCTCCATCTCTTGCATGCCAGTTGTCCCTGTGTTTTCATTGCCAATTTTGAGCCTCAGCTCGACTGAGTTCTTTGCTGGGGTTCAGCAGGTCTGCCACCTGCTGAATGAAGGGTCTGAGCCAGAGAAATTGGTGTCAGCTGGTGGGATTCAAGAGCCTGGAGAGAGCTCATTACACTGCTGAGTTTGTTTGCGTTCTCGAGCCGTGGGGCGGCGTCCAAGGGAGGAACAATGTGTAACTGAGACGATGCTGGGAGATGGGGTACAGGCTATCTGAATTACATCCTCTCCCCTCTCGTTCCACAGGTACAGATCTGCCTCAGATCCATGTCACCTGCCGGCGAAGTGCTTGAGAGACACACTCACTGAGTAGTTCAAGCTCCCTGGTTGAAGTTTAAGGCAGGCTGGCTGAGAGTTCAAGACCAGCCGAGTGATTTGCTGTTCTAAACAACAGTAAACTCCAACCCTTGTGTGCTGACAAATTTGAGGCTTCAAGCTGGTTGGATGATGCTCTCACAGAGCTCTGTCTTCTGTCAAAGGGCACACAGGTGGGTAAGCGCCCATCTTTGGCTGACTTGACAGTCTCCTTCCCTCCATTTACCTGACTTACAAACTGTCTGACTTATAAACTCTGTCTCCCCTTTCCCACTCAGTGAGCCTCTCAGTTCTACCTTAACACCGTGTTTTACATCACCTTCAACTACTGTCACCACCTCCTAAGAGGATTTCTGGCTAGGTGACTCTCCATTCTAATCCATTCCTTATCTTCTTAAAGGAAAGCAGATCCTGTCACCTTCCTGCTTAGCCCTCCTGTTAATCCTCCACAAGCTAAAACCACTCTCCTTGGACAGGGTGATGAGAGTGTCACTGTGTGGCTCCTTGTTTTCCTGCGGTGCCAGTTTCCTGCACTAGTTAAATGAGTAGAGTGTCTGTCCGCACTTTAGAGGAAGGCTTTTGAATCTTTGCCTCCAATGAGAATGACTCCCATAGGCTCTTCTGTTTGGATAACTAGGTCCCTACTTGCTGGAACTGTTTGTGGAGGATCAGGAGGTGTGGCTTTGTTGGAGGAAGTGTTGTGTCCTCCAACAATGGTTGTGTCTGAGGTAAGCTCTCAGCTACTGCACCAGTGCCTGCTGCCATGCTCCCTGGCATACTGGTCACAGACTTTAACCTCTGAAACCATGAGCCCCAAATTAAATGTGCTCTTTTAATAAGCTGCCTTGGTCGTGGTGTTTTATCACAGCAATAGAAAAGTCACCAAGACAGCCATGACAAGGGTGCATTTTGATGCCCTTTGTTGGGTAAAGAAGGTCTCCTCTGTAGTTGCTAAGAATGAGTTGGTCTCATGAATGTTGCATTTTTAGCAAATGTTTTCTGTGCCTGCCAGCTTTATAATTCCTCGGTTTAGTCAATCTGTGACTCATTTTTAAAGATTAAATCAAGATTAAAACAAGATTAAATCAATCTTGTTTTCCCAGATAAATCCACCTGGGACTTAACGTGTTGTCTTGCTAAAAGTACATTTCTGGATTCAGTTAGCTAATACTGTGTTTAGCACATGGTTCTACAGTTAGTATTCAGGCTTCTGTACTGGCCTGTCCTTGGGGTTCTGACAGGATACGCCCTCAGCTGCTGCCACTAAGAGCACCTCCTGTGCACATTCACCATGTTCCCTTTTAAAAGGGCCCCGCCCACCTCCCATCTTTCTCTCTTTTCTCTCTCTCCCTCCCTTCTTCTCTCCCTCTTTCCCTCTCTCTTCCATCACTCTTGTCCCCAGGGTCCCGTCTCTGCCCCCCTTTCTGCCCCTTCTCTCTCCTCTTTCAATAAACCTCTTATGTAAGTCCTGTTGTATGGTGTGACTTCTCTTTGAGGCATTTTTTAAACTACAGCACCTACCACCTGTGCTCCGGCTTGGGGGAAAGTATCTCTTTTGGAGAGGTGAACCAAAAGTAGTGTGTTGGGGAGAAACACAGTTGGTTTCTGCTTCTGCCTAGAATCAGGGCTTCAGCATGACCAGGCCTGGCGGGGGTTGGGTGGGGAGGGGTCTGAAGCTGAGTAATACCACTATAGGAAAATAAGAGATGTTCTTATTCAAAAAGACCACATTCTACGCACAGTTCAGTAAAACTCGGCATGAGATTGAGATAAATCTGACAGAATTTAATTGTTTTAATGTCAGTGAAATAAAAGTCTGCATTTACAAATAAACCTATATATGATTTGTTTGCTTGGATAAAACACAATCGATAAAAAGAGGGAAGAGCAAGAGAGTCACTCCAGGAACCATCTTCAGGAATCTTTGCTAAAGCATATCCAAATATGATACCTTCTCTGGGACCTTGCTTAGGCCAAGACTGAAGAGGACAGACTTCTCGAGCTCCAAATAACCGTCGTATTCCAGCTTCAGTTCTGCCTCTATCTGTTCTTTTGTCATATGATAGACTTTCTAGGTGGGAACAAGGGAGACAGCTCTGTACATCACTGACAGCTTAAAAACCAAAGAGGAACGAGGAGGAGCTGGGTTTTACTGAACGGCTGGTGTGGCTGCTCTTTAGAAGGCGTTTGTGGGAGCGTTGGAGAACAGGTGGACAGGAGGGCAGTCTCAAGTGCTGGGGGAGTGGGTAGTGGGGAGCAGCCTGCCCTCTGTCGCCTCTCTCTAGAGCAGTGGTTCTCAACTTTCCTAATGCTGCAACCCTTCAATGCAGTTCCCCATGTGTGGTGAGCCCCCCCCCCAACTGTAAAATTATCTTTGTTGTTACCTCAACCGTAATGTTGCATTGTAATGTAAATATCTGTGTTTTCCAATAGCCTTAGGCAGCCCTATGGAAGGGGTGGGAACTGCTGCTGGAGAACTGCTGGGGACCCATGAGCAAACTCCTCCTCTGGTCTTTCCTGACCAGTGGGTGCAGCGAGTGTCCTGCTTTCCTTATGTGGACTGGAGGGCAGGGTGCTAACTGTTGGGGTAGAGGGTGACACAGTGTCTCCCATGAAAGAGTGTTCAAAAAAAAAAAAAAAAAAGCCACCACCAATTCATTTGTTACAGTGGGACTAGACAGAAAGTCAATTTGCTGGGATTGCTGTACATGTTGTCACGACCAAGGGTGGCTTTTGGAAATGAGCCCTCCTTTTTGGTTGTGTGGCTGTGTGTGTGTCTATGAATGAGTGTCGTGTGCAGAGCATCACAGTAGCCGCCCACTGTTGCTTTTCCCAGAGACCTGGGATCTCACCTAGAAAATGACTTCGGAGAATACTATGTGCTTGGCTGTGAAGAGACCAGTGAGGAAACTGTGGTGACAAAGAGGCAAGGGAGGAGACAAGCCAACAAGAGACATGGTTACAGACCCGGACAACTCCAGTGGGAACAGGAGAAGAGCAGTTTATAGCACCTTTCAAAGTCCCCAGTTCTGGTGTATGAAAGAAAGCCAGTCCTAGAGTTCCTGTCCCTCGGAGAAGGGCTGAGAAAGAGGAGTGTGGGCTTGAGGAGTACCTGTTGTCTGCATGGAAGACGGGCATGCTCTCTGCTTCTTTGTTTCAAGAGTATCACAGTGTGATAAAACATACCTCTCTTATCTCTCTGCTACCATAGTTAGCGGAACAATCTTTTGGTGTCAGTGGCCAAGTTATTTAGCGGAAAGCCTTCTAGCGATCAGCAGAGGTGGCTGTTGGCATTCCCGTTTTCCAGACAAGACAACCAAAGCTCAGCCATGAACTCATGTCTTGACTTTTGTATGACCTGTTTCAATGCAACGCTCCCCAAACATGGAAATTCCATGCAATGTTAGCACTTACCTGTGGACCTTGTATCTACAGGAAAGGATTTTAGAACTATAGTCAATTACAGAAAGATGACTTGGTCAGAATCTTACTGTGCATCAGGGCTGGTGAGCTGGCTCAGTGGGCATGGTGACCTGAATTCCTTCCATGAGACTTTCATGATAAGAGCACTGAATCCCATAAATTGTCCTCTGACCTCCCCGTATGTGAGCAGTGTATACAGCCTTACCACCGGGTACCTGCCCACATGCAATAATAGATGAAAATGGGATAGAATCTCCATCTATGCTCAACAGGTAGACCACCTCGTGGTGGTCTAGGAAATCAAAGAAATGCCCGCTTTATCTTCTGAGGCAAAGCAGAGAGCCGAGGGCGGAGCGCACAGGACTCAGTGGGATGAGCCCAGCGACTCTTTCCCACTGGGAGGAGCAGAAGACAGCTCTCCTTCCCGAAATTTCACTCACAGCTTTCTTCTTTGCCAGTTCCAGGGCTATTTCTCTCTTTTCTTCCTCACGGATGAGCTTGCGCTGCTGGACATAGTCCAGATGCTTGACTTCTCTTTCAAAGTAGTAGTTCACGCTCGATACCTGCCAGAAGCAAAGGTAGGTGTCAGAGCTAACCCCACAGGGACACCCGCCAGCCCGTGGTCTTTCCAAGGCTGGCTTGGAATGCCTGTTTCCGACCGCACCTCCCAGCTCCGACTGACCACAACCTCATAGCGAGCGGAAGAACCGCCATAGGGTGTTTCTCATCCTTCAGGCAGGTGTGAATTGGAGGCGTGCCTGCAGGTCAGGGAAGCTACTTCCGTGAGCCTGCTTCTGTGCTTCTACTCAGGTCCCCCCAGGACTTGCAGCTTCGCCTTTACAGTTGGAAGGGGAGAGCTGCAAGAACCTTCCATGTTACAGTAGAGATATTTAGGAATTTGCTTTCCCCTCTTTTCTTTCTTCTTACTTCGGAGACTAAAGCTGCATGCCCTCAACTGAACTTGGTAAACTCAGAGGAGGATAGCTACAGAGACTTTCTATCTCTGGTTGTGAGCCTAGCCTTTAATGGTGGAGACTTTTAAGGGACTAGAAGCAGAGCTGATTTTCCAGTCCCCCAGAGGGCTTAGCGTGCAGGCATATGGACATTAACAGGGAGGCAACAGAGGCCTCCCTTGGGGAAGGCAGTCAGGGCAAACATGGTGCCTGTTAGGAACTAGCCTGATGCTGGGACTTGCCAAGAGTGCAATCTGTATATTTAATGTGAGTGCATATGTACTTAGGGTTTTCATTTATCAATGAAACCTTTTATACCCTCATTTCTTAGCATTGCCTGAAACACTTAGATGGTGAGCCTAAGGTCGGAGGGGACAGAGCATTGCGGTTCAGAAGCAGGGCCAGCAGTATGAGAGGTTTGAGGGGGTGACAGGGAGACGTGTGCGTATGTCAACAGAGTCCTTGGGGAAGGACCGCACTGGAGTGACAGAGCTCAAACTCAGTTATAGTTTGAAAATAATGACTCTCCCAGCCTTCACGTCATTCATTCCCCGCCCCCGCATGTGTGATTATTTTCCTTAGCTTCAAACTATCTAATTCATACGATAAAACATTCTTTTGTTATTTAAAATGCACAAGTTTCTCATTCTCTTGTAAAACAAAAGCGCCGACATTTCAAACACTCTTAATGTATGCACCCAAAGGTTGTCGAGATGGTTTGCCAGGTAAAGTGATTGCTGCCAAGTTTGCTGACCCGAGTTCTATCCCTGGTACCCACATGATAGAAGGAGAGAACCAACTCCTTCCTGCAAGGTTTCCCCTGACTTCCACAAGTGTGCCATGGCACACACCCACCCCAACACAAATAGATAAGTATAATTTTTAAAAAAGAAATGCCTCAGTAACATTAAACTTGCAAAGTCGAGACTTTACTAACCTCATTAAAGGAAGGGCGACTTAACGTCCAGGGAATTTCTAAGATATGCAGAGTCCCATAATAGTCAGCTATGGCTATAAACTGCTGCTTAGCTGAAAGGTTAAAAAAAAAATGGGGAGAAATTCAACAAACAGAAAGTCATCCGAAGAGGTTGAACACAAAAGCTGTTTTGTTTGTGGTTTCCCGAAGGACCAGCTGTGGTTGCCGGGCTCCTGGCAATTCCATCGTGTGCTCATGACTAGACTATGCAAACATGGACAAGTCATCTTTTCCAGTCGATGAGATGAAAGCTGAAACTCTGAGTCTTTGTTAGCCCCCCCCCCCAAATCTTGCTCTCTTGGTGTCTATATAAGGACAGAAGCTGACGGCTCATTTTCTCCGTGGTCTTAGGAGAGCAGGGATAGCAAGTGGTTCTAAGCCCATTCCAGCCTACACACCAAGAGCCTAAGGATCGTGCTGTGTAGATGACCTTCTCAGACACAGCCCAAATCACGGTTTCCTATGACAAAAACATTGCTTAAAAAGCAAAACAAAACAAAACAATGTGTGTGAGCATACTTATTCTCCATGCTTCCTGGATGCTTCCTTCTTCCTTCAGGAGGTCTGATTCAAATTGCTGAATCCCACACCCAAACCCTACAGGTACCAAGTTTTGTACCCAGGATAGGAAAACATGTTTTGGTCATGTCTCCTGGCTAACTGGAAACCAGACTAAGACAGTCTAGAGATCCTGAAGCCTGAGTCTCAGGGTGGGGTGTTTCTAGGAAAGAAATCATAGAGACAATCTTGTGCCTATAGACTTTTGGAAACAAAGGGAAAGTTCTTCTAGTAAAGACAGGCATACTGGAGTTACACAGAAAATATCATTTGAGCCAAACAGAAAACAAATTGAAAATCGTAAAGAAAAAAAAAAACAAAGACTTTTCTACAGATACATCCTTGAATGTATGCTTCTTTGGTAGTATATTTTACTCCTATTTAACCCAGACACTAAGGCTTAGTAGATAAATATTATAACCCTAGAGGACTGTGTGCGCCCATGAAGGGACTGGCTTGGCATGGTTATTGGAAGCATCACTGAAGTACATAACTCTTAGTAGATAAATATTATAACCCTAGAGGACTGTGTGCGCCCATGAAGGCTTGGCATGGTTATTGGAAGCATCACTGAAGTACATAACATTTAAAAAGTTGACAAAGAAACACAACTCAACATTTCTGGAAAAGAAATAGCCAAAAAGCAACACGGCTTTAGGACCACTCCGTGAGGCTGAGAGGAGACTAGATAGAAGCTTTCCATTCTGTGGTTGAGAATCGGCAGTGGCCTGACCTTACCAGAAGTCCAGAAATTGCTGCTGCTGAGTCCAAACAGCAGGGAAGCTTTGGGGCTCCCAGAGTTTGGGAGCAAGATGGGAATGCTGTTGGAGGGACGCGGGAAGGGAGCGGGAGGGAAAGAGGAGAGACGGGGGCAGAAGGGCCCGCAGGACCGGTGGGGTGTGAGACGACGGGGCAGGGGCTTTTCTGGTGAACACCAGAGCCTCCTAGCGGCCGGAAGAAGGCACGTACAGGAGAAGGTCCAGGGTTTGATGTAGGTGATCATGGTGATGCAGATGTTCTGGGACTGTGCTGGCTCATGGGTTTTCTCCAGGAGGTCCCAGATGTCCACGTACCCATCCTCCCGGCCGATGTAGAACACTCCAGGCCTTGTCAGGGACCAGTGCCCTGCCGTGTACCTCTTCGGTGCACAGCATGTCTGAAGGAGAGGTCCAGTCTAAACACAAGTTTAAAAGGCACAGTGAGAACTTTTGCTGTGACTCAAGGGAAAGTCACAATGATTTTTTTTTTTTAAGTACAGTTCAGCTAACCTTGATTACTTAACCATAAGTTTATCCCACTGGAAAGTCTTACTTCCTTTTGTTGTAGGGTTTTATTTATTTATTTATTTTTTAAAGGAGAGACAGACACAGACACAAAGACGGAAGAGACAGAGCGCGGTGCATGCCGCATGCCACAGTGCCCACGTGGAGGTGAAGGACCTCTGTGTGGAGTCCGTCTCTCCTTTCACCTTTACCCACTGAGCCATCTTGCCAGCAACATTGTGGGTTTTTACATAGGACCAGTTATTTTTCTCTCCCATCTATTTTTATAAGTAACCTCTGTTTCATGTTTTAGTTGCTTTTTAGGAAACATTGAATCTTCCAGTTTGGCTTCATAAGGTCCTGGTAACCCTTTGCCTCTGAATGGATTGCTATTTCTATGAGGTTCTGTGGACAGCAGATACAAGGAGAGGGGAAGGAGGTTTCTCCTCTAACTTTGTCTTGCTGCCTGAGATCTGATGCCCACTGGAGCAGTGCTATCAGAAGCAAACGAAAAGGCGAGTGTTCCGTTTTCATGTGTGTCTCGCACAGACTCATGTGTTGAATGTTGGTTCCCAGCTGGTGACACTATGTTGGGTTGGTCTGGAAGAGGTCATGACTTTGCGCCTGCCCCTGATCCTGGTCCTGTGCCTCTGCTTCCTGTCCACCTCGAGGTGAGCAGCTCTGTCTGCATGCTGCTGTGATGGGGATGTCCTTCTGCATATGTGTTTGTCTTATTGGTTGATGAAGAAAACACTGATTGGCCAGTAGCCGGGCAGGAAGTATAGGTGAAGCTACCAGACTAGAGGATTCTGGGGAGGGGATGAAGAGAGTAGTTTTGAGGAGATGCCATGAAGCTACGGGGAAGACAGGATGTTCTCTGGTAGGATAAGGCCATGTAGAAATACATAGATTAATAGTTATGGGTTAATAATTAAGAGAGAGCTAGCCAGTAAGAAGCCTGAGCCATTGGCCAGTTTCTAATTAATATAAGTGTCTGTGTGTTTATTTGGGGCTGAAGGGCAGCAGGACCAGGT